AAAATTGAAATGCGCCTCTTTTGGATGAAAGACATTATAAACACTCCCAAACACCGAATTACAAGTGGTTTAGACACACTGAACATGAAAATGGTGTCCGTGACCCTTGTTTATGCCCTGAGGTCATCTTAGGTCACGAATGGTATCTAACAGTTTTTCGCAAATAACTTTTGATAGAGGCATGTTAGAGCGATGAAAACGCCTTAGATGTGTTCAGCTCGACGATACGGATCGACTGATATGCAACATGACCCTTTCCGGTCAGGTCATGACCTTGACCTGAGGTCAAATTTTCAAGTTGACCTTTCAAGGTCAAGTTATAGTTCATTCGATGCGTCTTGACGAGAGGAACACGATGCCGGTAAAAGTAAGCTCGTACAGGGCTTGGGTCAAAAGGTATTGCAGAAAAACTGTTTCCGAAAAAATCGGCTATTTTTGCAGTTTTTGCCCCCTGCAGGCAAAACCGTTGACGTTAGGTCAAATTTGAGAGAATTACTCAGAAAGGGCGTTAATAGGGCTATCGAATGCGCTTTTCCGCGGCGCTGTAGCTCTATTGGTTCCCGAGTTATGCGTTGGCTTCTTGGAAATTTTCGCCATTCGACCTGGAAATCGGCGAAATTTTGCCTTCAATGACCTCTGGTGACCTGACCTTTGACCTGACCAAAAAATTGACCGAAGTGATTTCGTCATTATTTTTGACGCTCTCTCGAACGCCGCCTTCCGCGTATCGCTACGTGGCCCAGGAGCCGAGTTACAAGGGGGGGGGGTGTTCAACCCCCCCCCCCCAGCAGGGCGTGGAAATCCAGGACCCCCAGCCGGGCGCGGGTTAATTGACTTGCACCTGATTTTTTTTCAAAATGTAAGCCATCATGAGCAGATTTTGTACCTGAAGTGATGTCATAAGAACAGCTTCGTTACTTGTCATGTTCATAGTTTGACCAGTGCAGCACATGACGCCAATGTACCGAATCAGCCCACATAAAACTGATTATCAGACTCTCCCACTGATCATCCCTTTTGGACATTGTTCCTAACTCAACACAAACAACTCAACTTTTGGTCTATTCAAAAAGCTGTCCGCTAATGGCGGCTGCCTTGCAAAAGCGTCTCAGGATCAGACGCTGTCCGCTCAGAGAGAAAACCGGGGCTGACGCACTGGCTTCCAATACGTCACGGGTCATTGGAATATTGATGACGTCATTGGGTAACATGTGACAGTATACGAGGTCGTGCGGGAAGTCAGTGCTCACTGTTCGTCACCCATGCCTAGTATCGGGATTCTGGAGTAATTGCGTAACCGCGCTGCGAACGCCTGCCGCTCTGGGAATAACGAACTATTTATGAGACAAGCTGGGCCATCATGGATGCCAGGCTGTCACATCTCTCATGACAGGGAGCATATGTGACGCTGGCTCGTCAGGACTCAGGGAAACAAACTGTACGTACAAGTAGCATTGCTGCATAGCATTGTATGAATCTACATTATTCGTAGATTCCTAGCGTGTTCGAAGTGAGGGTCACAAATATCCCAGGATGACGCAATATGTTAAATAAAACATGACCCTCGTGTAACGGTACGAAGACCTGCTGTCACTCGAAACCAGCATTAAAGACATTGCGCTGCTCTTTAAAAACTTCAGCTGTCTGAATTCAAACTAAGCAAAAAACTAGGCTTCAATTGTGATTTTCAATTGTTTTTGTTTTCTTTTAAACCACATTTTGCACACTTGCCTGTCTATAGACATGTAGCAGCGCATGTCCATTGTCCAGCAAGAACGAGCCCAAAACTGCGATTATGCATGCCTGTTGCGACACACACACAGATATTATACCGGAAGCACGTACAGCAATTCTCCGAGTCCCCAGCCGTAAGCCTGCCTTCTATGGACGGCCTGGGCCGAACTACCGGCGACATGTGCAGCCCGACGTCCTAGTTTGTATGCGTACTGCGTGTATGCGTCAGGCGCGGATACAAGGGGGGGGGGCCATGGGGGCCATGGCCCCCCCTTGGCCGATTTTTTTTTTCAAAAATAAAATAAAAAGTTAAAAAGTTAAAAAGCTGAAAAGGGGGCCTCCTGAAAATAAAGTGGCCGAAATCCGATGAGTTTTTTTTTAACCTACCCACTTAAATATTTCTTAGAAGACTAGCTGAGAAGACTTCTTTGTTAGAAGATTGGTAAAGCTTTTCATAACTTGGAGGTCTCTTATACTCACAGAGATGACCACTTTTACAGGGCCTCCTAACCAGGGGCGTCGACACCGGTCCGACTTTTCCGACTAGTCGGACCACTTTTTCGACTAGGCGGTGCCCTGCTGTGGCTCGCGGGGGCCCTGCTGCGACCGCGGGAGCCCCTGCTGTGGCCGCGGGGGCCCCTGTTGGGGCTCTCGGGGGCCCAGCTGCGGCCACGGGGGCCCCTGCTGCGGCTCGCGGGGGCCCCCGTTGGGGCTCTCGGGGGCCCTGCTGCGGCCACGGGGGCCCTGCTGCGGCTCGGCCCCCCTGCTACAGAATGCGGGGGCCCTGCTGCGCCTCTGGGGCCCTGCTAGACACCGCGGGGGCCCCTTCTGCGGCTCGCGGGGGCCCTGCTGCGACCCGCGGGTGCCCTGCTGCGACTACGAGGCCCCTGGTGCGGCCACGGGGGTCCCTGCTGCGGCCACGGGGGCCCCTGCTATAGAATTCGGGGGCCCTGCTGCGCCTCTGGGGCCCTGCTAAACATCGCGGGGGCCTATACATTTGTATACTTATGTATGTATGTAAATGTACAGGTCTCGCGGGTTTTAGCGGTAGGTTTTGCACCTAGAAAATTTAGTGTACTTCAGGCTATATCTTTGTCGTCTTAACCCTCGCCGGACCTATTGGTTTTCTACATACGCGCCGGCCGAGGGGGGGGGCGGGTACGACCCCCCCCTCGCCGTTTCGCCCCTGGTGGAGCTAGCGCGTCGCGGAAAAAACGAGCGTGTGCGCCGTTACGAGACGCAGAGATTGGTACCCGATTTTAAGGTCCTAGGTCAACCGGTGACCTCTGAGGTCAGGTCAAGTGCCCCAGGGTACGGTTCAGTGTTTGGTGAATAACTTCGCAAAAAACGGCCGCAGAGCGCCGATTTTGGCAGCATCGTGTTCGCCTCGCTCAGGCGCGTCGAATGATATACTTTTTGTCCGGGTCAGGTCAACTTGGGGTGTTGACCTCAGGTCAAGGTCAGGTCAGCACCCCCAGGTCACGAAGTTGGTCGAAAGAGGTCATGTCGCATATCATTCGATTCGGCAGGCCTTCCTGAGTCCATTGGTGCCTTTCCCGACTCGCTAGCTCAATTTGATCAAGAGTTATTGACGAAAAACTAATTTGACCTTGATGACGTCATAAATGACGTCACGCAGGGTCAACATTGCAAAAGTGACGCATCTAACCTTGCAAGGAGTGCATCAAATCACGATTCCGTGTGCTTGAGATAGTTGGAGATCGTTCCCGGCGCCAGAATAGCAGTTTGAATTTTTCCCCATTGACTTATAATGGTGAGGTCACGAAAATGACCTGACCTCATATGACCTTAAGGAAAAATCCGAGATATACAAGTTGTGGGACTCATAATGGATACTAGATCCTGCAAGTTTCATTTCCCTGTGACATCTCCTCTGGCAGTGAGGGCGTTGCGAAGTTGCGACATCTGAAGACCGTGCAGAGGTTCACTTATGACGTCATAGGTCAGTGACCTGACCTGACCCAAAAATGCGGTTGGTGTCAAAAGATCCGGCTTGGATCAAAGGTCAGGTATGCCAAGTTTCAGCTCTCTATCGCCAGCGTGTTCGGAGCTATCGCGAAAAAACCCTATGGGGGGGCGGCACCCGCCCCCCCCCCTCGGCCGGCGAGGGTTAAGCTTTTAAGTGTTGAAGATGCGATCGACTTGTTGGGTAACAAGCCGGCCATGATCGTGTAAAATGGCTTCATCGTAGATCGACTAGTTTCTGAGATATAACCGGAAATGTAAAAGTGCAAAACCTACCGCTTAATCTCGCGAGACCTGTACGTTGGGAAGCCGCTCGACACCTGGGGGCCCCCACCGGTGGGACCCCCCGAGAAAAAGTCGGACCAGTTTTCCTTACGCGTCGACGCCCCTGCTCCTAACCTGCACAGGGGGCCTCCAAGCCTGCACAGATGTTGAGATGTTGCCTGAACAGCTAGATAAGCTCAATAGACGCAGTTTTTTTTTTGGGGGGGGGGGGGGCCCAACAAGTGGGAAGATGGGGCCTCCAACAGGTGGGATTATGGGGGGGGGCCTCCTGGTTTCTAATGGCCCCTCCCTTGGAGATTTTCTGGATCCGCCCCTGGTATGCGTATCGTGCATTGCGTACGCGCTCGGCGTGGAGAGCTGAGAGCGTTCAGGGGCGGCCCTGTAACAGGCACGTCTCGCCCCTGTCAGCATGGTTGGTCCTATGCATGGGTATAAATCTGCACCGGGATGACATTGGTGCGCCGAGCTCGCTGCAGAGAGAGGTCATCATTTTGAACCGCGCCGGAGACTTACAACGTAGATTGCCGGAGATCGGCGTTTTGGAATAAAATCCAGCGTGGGATGTTCGACTGTTGGGTGGCGCTCGTCCCACTGTCGATCTGTACTGTCCACTGTCGATCTGTGCTATCCACTGTCCCCAGTTCATTGTCATGGCACGTCTTTGTCATGACAAGCTGCAATACCTCTGACGAACTGGTGTGCTGGCTTACAGCAACTTGTTTACGTCGTTTCATTCGCTCATGCAGGACACCAACTCGAATCTTCTCTTTCCTTGTCCTCGTTTCACGCTTATCCCACGCGAAGGTGACATCTGCCATGTTTTCTGACACTCACCCTTTCAACTGACGTTCGTTCCCTTCACTGACGTTCATGCCTTTCCCTAGTGTTCTCCATGTTCACTGATGTTGCCCCTTCACTGATAGTATCGCTGTTGTTTGACGTAGTTGAGTTGACGTCCGTCCCGTTTTCTGACGTGTTCAATCTCTTTGTTTCAGTTCGCGGAGATTCCTCCAGAGAAGGGTCTTCGCCGCTGCAGGTCCCTGCTGAGACAAGTCGCGAGAAAGGCGCGCAAAAACATCCTTCATCACAGCACGCACGACTGCTCCATACCATCCGACTGTCGCGAACAGCTGAAACACATCTACGTCTACTGAGCGGGACAGCGTGACGTCAGTGACTCACTGTGACGTCATTGGATCGGCAGTTGTCACGTCTTATTGGTTTGAATTGCCAGCTGTGATCGACGGACTAGGATAATAATCAAAACAAGGCAGGAAGGGGAGATTCAGGTTGATTGGATTTGGAGACACCATGACATGTGCGCGATCAGCTACATTTTTCTACGACATCCACACCTGTAATCGTATTTTGTTCTGTCTTGCATTTGTTGTGCTCGTTTCTCAGGAGTTTTGTTTGTGACAACACTCTGTGGGACTCTGATCGCGTCATCAACCCCCACATCCCCAATGTCGCCCCCCTCCCCCGGGGCAGTATCATTGACCCCACATTGGCAGTCTGCAGCCCTCCGGTGAGCGGTCGACCTCACCGGAGGTCGACCGCTCACCGGAGTGTAGCCTCCCCCGGCCAGCCGTCATCGACCCCCACACCCCCAGTGTAGCCGCCCCGGGCCAGCGGTCGGCACCACATCCCCAGTGTAGCCGCCCCCGGCCTGCTCATCTGCCCTACACCCCCAGTGTAGCCGCCTCCCGGCCAGTGTAGAGGTCCACCCTACACCCGCAGTGTGCCACCCCCCGGGGCCAGTGTAGCGGTCGGCCCTACACGTCACCTGACAGCGTGCCGCCCCCGGACAGCGGTCGGTCGGTCCATTCGGCGCCCGCGTGACCCTGAAATTGGCGCGCCGGCGCCCAGTGTGGCGCACCGGGACCTTCAGCGGTGTCCTAGCGGCCCATGAAGGTCTCCCAGTAGGCCCACAGTGCGCCCCGGGTGGTCCATGAAGGTCTCCCAGTAGGCCCACAGTGCGCCCCGGGCGATAACACAGTGCTGGCGGCCATAGCTAGCTTCCGGAGCTGGCGGGAAGTCGGCAGGGTCTGGTGTGACGTCACTGTATGACGTCACTGAGTTACACAATGTGTGACGTCATTGGTGGTGTTTGAGTGACGTCATAAAGTGTGACGGCAGTGGTGGAGTTCATGTGAATGTACATTAGTGGATTCTGGAGAGTGTTGTGGACTGTGGTTGGTGCGGCGGTGAATATTGATATTCAGGGAGTCACTTACATGTGAATGCTGCAGGTTCAGCTAGCAATGAACAGGGAGTGGGTCTCCCCATGGAAAAGGCGTGTGTTTGGGGAAGGAGAAGGACGAAAATGTGAACTGTATGTAGGCAGTAACTGAACGAGAGAGTGCATAGACTGTCCAATGTTAAACCAGCCAATTTGTCATAACCGTGTTGTGTGGGCCGTTGCTTTGTCAAAGCATTTTGTAGCATGCAGAAAATGGTGTCGTCTGAAAGTGGTTTGCATTGTGTAATTACGTTTATACATAAGGTATTTGACAAAATATTGTTGGTTATTTTTGTACCATATCTCGTAAGGATTGAAAAAATGTCCTTTCAAATGTCTGCTCAATTGTTTCACCTTACTCCTGTTCATTATTCCATGTAAATGCTGCTCACTACACATGTAGCACGAATGCTGATAATAGCTCCGTCCACTGTCCAGGTATTTGATAATAAAACCACAAATACAGGGTGTTTCTGAAAATGCTGACACATTTATTTCTCCTATAGCTCTCATGTTTATTGACGTACAGATATCGTCATAGGCTACAACTGATCAGTCATCATCGGAAATTCACATCCATCGCCAATAATCACTATCTGACCCCCTTCCCGGAACCTAGAGCAGGTGCTCGAAGTGGCCACCACTTCTGGCCAAACAGAGTTCGGCCCGACGGCGCACTGCTTCCAGAACTCGGCGGCACTCCTGGGGAGTCACCGCCCTCACGCACGCGCGGACCGCAGCCTTCAGCTCGGGGATGTCTCGGGGTTCACTCTTGTAGGCTCTTTCCTTGACATGGCCCCAGAGGTAGAAGTCCGCCGGCGTGAGGTCCGGAGACCTCGGTGACCACCTGGTGGGGGTGCCTCGGGAGATGAGCCGCCCCCCGAAGCGCTCCTGCAGCCACTTGAGGGTCACATTGGCAGCATGAGCGGGGGCACCATCCTGCTGCAACCACTGCTCGTTGATGGTGTCCACACACTTCCTCTGGAGCGCAGCCCCTAACTTCTTTAGCAGCTGCTGATAGCGCTCTGCCGTCACTGTGGGGACCTCGCCCGCGTCATCTTCGATCCAGATTGGGCCGATAATGCCCGTGTTGCTCACAGCGCACCACGCAGTGCATCGTGGCGGATGCAACTGACGTTCTGCGACCTCGTCTGGGGCCTTCTCGCTCCAGATCCTGTTGTTCTGGGAGTTGACTCTGCCGTCAAGGTAAAAATGGGCCTCGTCGGTAAACCAAACGTTCTCCAGAAATCCCACTGTTTCTCTGCACTTCTGTGAAAACCATTCACAGAATGCAGAACGGGCGATCTTGTCGGCTTCTGTCAGCTTGTTTGTCACAGCAAGCCTGTATGGGTACAGCTGAAGGTCCTTTCTGAGGATCCTTTGCGCTGTGGAGCTGCTGCACCCTGCTTCTTGCGCGAGGCGTCGATGGGACTTTTTTGGGTCATTCTTAACGAGCGTGCAGATTGTTTTGATCTTTTCTGCCGTTCTGATCCACTTTTTTTCTTCCCGAAAACGACTTCTGGAGGTTGCTTACACTTCCGACTCGGATATATTTTTCAGTAAGAGAAAGGATAGTGTTCCTGGAAGGCGCAGTTTTAACTTTTAAATGGGCCCTAAAGCGCTTTTGTGTCAAAACAACTGATTTGGTTTCGAAGTAGAATTGCACTATCTTAGCTTTTTCCTTCGTACTGTAATACGACATGATGAATGATACGACTGATGCTGTCAATCAAATTTCCAGAAATTATTCTTTCGTCTCGTGTATCGAACACGTGTATTTAAATGCAGCGAGTACCTCTAAATATCAAAAGAAATGTGTCACCATTTTCAGAAACACCCTGTATGAGGCACTGTTTTTTTAAAGCTCTGACATAATCAAGTCCTTGTAAATGGACGGCTCACTTGGTGTCACCACTGAAAGGCGTGATTTGGTGATCGTTCCTAACCCCTACTTTACGCATTTCGGTCGCGCAGCATGTCCTCGATAACATCTAGGCAAAAAGTTGCATTTTGAATTTGACGCATATAAATCATGTAAAAGAATCGTTGACCTGTCCTCGAACAATTATAATCTTAGCCCTAAGTTATATTCGATCCGTTGAGTTTTCGCGGATACAAGCCTTAGATAAAACCAGCAGAATGAAACGATACAAAAATTCAGCAACATGTCAACATGTTGACAACGCTAAAAGATCTTTTCGCGTTTAGTTAATTTTATATCGAGAGAAACTCAAACGATTCTGAGAAGTGTTCCAGTAACTTTGATCGGCCTAATTAGTTAATTATTATAATCGGCTGGCGTTTACATCTCGTTTTGTACATACATTGAGCTAACAGCAGTTGGTGCATGCAAGACACAGAGCGAGATGTAGCCCTGTCGAGCCGGTTTGGTGGCAATTATACCTACCTATTGGCTTACGGCGTGTGTTTAAAGCGATTGCGAAATCCGGCCTAATTTCATTTATCAGCCACCATCCAGCTGGCACAATGAAGAGACCGTGGGCAGCGCAAATAAGATGGATTAACCTTCGCCCCAGTGGGGGGGGGGGGCATATGTTACCACCCTGTCGCGTTTTTTGCGTGTGAATAAAAAACCGCGGCGCGTAGCGCCGCGCCGCTTGGGGTAGCTTTTGGTACATCAATTTTGGACAATATGTAAAATTTTTGACCCCAGGTCATGTCAGGTCAGGTCACCAGGTCAAGCTAACTGACCAAACCTAAAAAAAAGTTTGCAATCATGTCCAGCCTGCAGTGTTTGTCAGAAAGGTTTTAGACCTGTTGGATTGCATGCTGTTATGGGCGCCTACAATTTGTATATCTCGGATTTTTTATATCCGTGACCTAAGGTCAGGTCAGTGGCGTGACCTTACCATTACGTCAATAGAGAAAAATGAAAATGCCTCTAGATCCGTGTGTACGCATCGGAAAAGTCCAAATATTTCAGACTCACAATGATTTAGTCCACTCGTGATGAAGAAGGTGTCATTTTTGCTGATAGCCTCTAGACAGGTCATCCGAGGTCACTTGAGGCTACAAACACTTTTTTGCCAATAACTCGCGATTGGAACGAGATAGAACGCTGGGGATGGTCTCATTGTGTTTGTCTTGTTGAGACGCATCGAGTGATATGCAACATGACCTTTTCCGGTCAGGTCATGACCTTGACCTGAGGTCAAATTTTCAAGTTGACCTTTCAAGGTCAAATTATAGTTCATTCGACGCGTCTCGGCGAGAGGAACACGATTCTGGCAATAGAAATGTCGTGGCTTTTTGTAGTCGAAAGTTATTGTCGAAAAACACTTTTCGTAAAAACAGCTATTTTTTGAATTTTTGCCCTCTGGAGGCTAAACCGTCGACCTGAGGTCAATATTGATAATGACCTTTTCAAAAGAAGAGTTCACAAGCTATCGTTTGCTGTTCCATGCGTTTTTTCTAGCTACCATAGTTCCTGAGATACCGGCATGTTTTCTGAAAAATATAATGACAATTGGCAAATTTTGACCTTTGATGACCTCTGGTGACCCCAATATTGCTCTAAGGTGAAAAATGACCAAAATACTTTCAAACGTACGCATTAAGAGCTATCGACTGCTTTTTACCGCGTCTTTCTAGCCCTCTTAGTTTTTGAGTTAGAGGTGGGTGGTAACATATGCCCCCCCTCACTAGGGCGAAGTTGGCTGAGACCGCCACTGCACACTGGGCCGATCGCCAGGTCTAGCCCTCGCACGACCAGGCCATTTCTCATAACACGAACGACCAGGGGGGGGGGTTGTTACGACCCCCCCCCCTGGCGTTTCGAAACGGAAGGTCGTAGAGCTTAGCGGAAAAAACCAACGGATTGCTCTCAACGAGATCTCGCGATTGGTGGTATATTTTTTGGTCCTAGGTCAACATTTGACCTACTTTTGACCGGTCAAAGGTCAAATTTTCGGAAAAATAGACTTTTTTCAACTTTCGGCGGCGATTGCGGCAAAACGGTGGAAGATATCGACTTGAAATCTTCACTATCGTGTTCCTTGATCAATTCTCTATCGTTTGGTATGTATTTCGTTTCCCTAGCTCTAAAAATGGCGCGTTGGGAGCGCCGGAAGTCGGCAAGGTCACAGTCGGCGGCAGAAATTCGAAAAATCAAAAATTAAATTTTTGAAATCTGATTGTATTTTTGGATTTGGGAGGTCCATTTGCTCCCTATAGAAGCTAATATTGCTGCATATTCCCATTGAGGTGACAAGAATTAGCAAAATAGTGGTTCGGGCGCTTTTCAAAAATAGTACCGGACGCTGTTCCTCTTGTGACGTCATAGCTCCGTGACCTGACCTGACCCGGTCAAATTTCTTATACCATATGATAGCCAATACTTGCCCCAACATGCATGGGAAGTTTCATCACGATCCATCAACCGATGTCCGTACCACTGGCAGGAAACTTCGGGCGTTGGCACTCAGTTTGTGAAAATCCGGCCGGAGGCTGTACCTCTTATGACGTCATAACTCCGTGACCTGACATGACCCGATCAATTTTTTTCGGCAAAAGATGCGCAAAGGTTGCCCCAGAGGGTATTGAAACTTTCAGCCCGCTACGACAAGCCGTTTAGCGTGCACTTCGAAAAAACCTCAGGGGGGGGGGGTTGATACAACCCCCCCCCCCTAGGCGTTCTAGGGCTAGCACGACATGGGTAAAAAATCGAACTTTGTGGATGTGCAATGAAACCTATACCAATTTGTTCAAAAATGATCATACTTCATTGCTGTGGTCTTTGTTTTCCAACACAATTGCTATTTCATGGCGAAAACTCAGCTTAAACACGAACTTCGGAATCGTTTGGACCGAACTCGTCCCCCGCGCTCTTCGACAACGTATCTTTGATCCACGAAAACAATCACAATTTGAGGAGGAATTCCACATTTATATACATCAAACGATAGCTCCGGGTCTGCAGAACACACATAACCACATGAAAATGGCGAACTCTTACTTGGTTATGATGTATTGGCATCGCAAAGACTTAAAGACGAAAATATAATTTCACATAATTGGTCTCACACACAAATAGACTTTTAAAAAAAGTACCGCAGAGTACCGCTTCGAAAATCTCGCTACATGTCAATGATTCATTGCACTTCAAGATCCAAAAGTCATTTTTTTGCGACTTTTTGCGACTTTGGATGTAGCAGCCAAACATCAACCCGCGCCGGACCGGTGCTCGGCGTCAAACGCGCCGGGCCGGGAGGTGCTGATTGAACACCCCCCTTCTAACTCGGCTCTTGGGCCACATAGCGACACGTAGTAAGTGGCATTCGAAAGAGCGCCCGAAATTCCAGATGGAGTAATTAGTCATTTCTAGGTCAGGTCAAAGGTCACGTCACCAGAGGTCATCAAAGGTAAAATGTTGCATATATCAACATTTCTCGAAAACCGGCCCATACCTCGGGGACCAATAGAGCTACATCGTCGCGGAAAAGTGC